GAGGGGGCGGGGCGGCTGCACGCAGGGGTTGCCTTGCGCGGGGGAGGCTCCGGGTGCGCGGAGTGCGGGGGGCCGCGTCGGGCGACAGGGGGGCAGCAAAGAGGGGGCTGGTGACCAAGGCGGGGATGTCCTGATTTGGGCCACGATATCTCCCCAGATGCTTCACGGCGCCTCTTCTGATCTTCTTGTTTCAGTAAGGTCCCCAGTCCCCTGTTGGGCCGAGCACGTGCCTCGGGCCGTGGTTTGCGAACCCCCTTCTTTGGCCGCTCCCAACACAGCAGGGGGCGGATCGGAGGAAGCTCGACGTTTTTGTCACGCCTTGGTAGGTTGCCAGAGGCTTTCCAGCTTCGGGATGATTTCCACAGCAGCCGTGCCTCGCCGAGAGCGCTCTGGGGCTGCTCGAATCGTCCCGGACGGCCGCCAGTGGCCCGAGTTGTGATTCGAAAGCCACACGACGAGGGTCATTCGATTCGGACGGAAGTGGGGGCGATTGGGAAAGGGGAGGGGGTCATTCGGTTCGGACGGAAGGGGGGGCGATTGGGAAAGGGGAGGTTACGAAATCTGCCACACGCAGCTGGTTTCGGCCCCGCCTCCGGGCGCCTTCCCTCGACGCCGGGTGGCGCCACGAGAATCAGCTACGTGAGCTGATTCGCTAATCCCTCCGTCTCTTAATGCCCCCTTTTGTGTGGGAGGCCAAACCCAAGCCCGCAGGCCACCACTGCCCAGGGCATGCCGTGCAGCAAAGGTCACTCGTGCCCAGGGTCAGTGTTGCATATGGGCGAACGGGCAGCGCTGCCGACGATCGATGACTAGCGCGGCCGACGACCGGCGACGAACGTCGTCGACGATCGACGACGAGCGCTGCTGGCAATCGACGACGAGCGTTGCCGACCATCGACGGCGAGCGCTGTCGACGATCGACGACGGTCGATGATAAACGGCGAAGATTTGCGACGACGATCGTCGACGACGTTCGGTGACGACGACGATCGACCACGAGCGCTGTCGACGACGTTCGGCGACGACCGTCGACGATCGACAATGACGACGACGACGACGTCGACGACGACGACGACGACGACGACGACGACGACGGCAACGACGACGACGACGACGAGGAGGACGACGATCGACGCTGCCGACGATCGACGACGGCGACGACGAAGAACGACGACGGCGATCGACGATTGGCCACGGCGGTGACGAAGAAGGTCGGCGGCAGTCCCGAGGAGTGGGGAGGATTAATGGGGGTCAGGAGGAGGCTGCAGGCTGAAGGAATCAAAGAGCGACTGCTCTTCCGCTGGGCTTTAATGCGGCGACCCAAAGAGGAACACGCGGGTGTTGAGAAGACACACGTCTACTTTGCAAAACGGGCATTTCTCTTGAGACATCCCCACAATCTGGGCGCGAACGGACCAGTGAAACACCGCTGCTCGACATGGGTGGCTCAAATGCCATGCCTGATGAGTATGATGATGTAAGTCTACGTAGATGTAGGGTCGGGTGTGAGTGAATATGGTTGAGTGAGAATGAGTCTGAGCGTGAGTGAGCCTGAGTGTGATTGAGTCTGCGCCTGATTGGTCTTGGCATGGGTGCGTCTGGGCATAAACTGGTCAGAGTACGAGAAATTCTGAAGTATGAGTGAGTGTGTGTGTGTGTGTGTGTGTCAGTGGATCTGAGCGTGAATGTCACACGAAGAGAGCGCGAGGCCCCGTCCACAGTTTCGTGGCTCGCCACTCCGCTGGGAACCTCCAGGGGCCTGCGAGAGCGACGACGCTTGCACGCCCGGCGGCACCGAGGGACGGCGAGGTGCCATTCTAGGATTTGCTTAGCTCACCGCTCCGCTGGACTTCCCAGGCTCCATGGACGCAACGAAATGGCAACAGCTGCTGCGCCTGGCAGCACCTGCGGAGAGGAAAGCGAGGAGGAACACGAAGGGAGGCTGGAGAAAGGAGGAGGGAAGGAGCGGCACAGCGCTGTAGTTTCGAGTCGAAACGAGGAGCCAACACGGAGGGGATTGAGATTATGATAGGTATAGTCATGCACCTCGTGTGGAGAGAAAAAGGGGAGAAGGAAATTTAAGGATCGCAGCCTGGTCAGCAAGCAGTCTCTCGAGCGGATGCCCCGCGGGAGGGCAACTGGTCGGCCGACGAGCTGCAGTGGTGCTGTACCCACAGAGGCCGATGGGGGGGAGAGCGGCACAGACTTGGGGCTGCCGCGAACGTCACTCTCGGGAGGAGGAGGAGGAGGAGGAGGAGGAGGAGGAGGAGGAGGAGGAGGAGGAGGAGGAGGACGAGGACGAGGTCGAGGAGGACGAGGACGAGGACGACGAGGACGAGACGAGGACGAGGACGGGAGGAAGGAGGAGAGGAGGGAGAGGAGGAGGAGGAGGAGGAGGGAGGAGAGGAGGAGGAGGAGGGAGGAGGAGGGAGGAGGGAGGAGGAGGAGGAGGAGGAGGAGGAGGAGGAGGAGGAGGCCGTAGCCATTTTGGCTCAAGTCTCACGGAGCTAACCTCCCGTGGGTCCCGACTCCAGAGGCTCGAGGCTGAGGTGGAAGGGCAGCCCCTTCCCGAGGCCTGGCTGCCTCAGCCTAGCACTTGGTGAGCTCCTGGCGGAGCAAAGTTTTCGACCCCCGGCGCACCGAGGGAGTTTCCCAGCTTCCAGGGGATCGGGGATGGTCCAGAATGGCGGAGGGGAACCCGCAGTCTTGCCAGGGCCGAAGGAGCCCATGTGGGGTTGCGCGTGTGGAAGAAGCAGCAATTGGGCGAGCAGAATCTGGTGTGTGTGTGTGCGGGGCGTCGGCACCTCGCTCGATCACAGACCGTGCTCGTCAGAATGCGAAGAAGTTTCAGAATGAGCGAGGGCCGAAGCCTGGGCCTCACCCCGCGCCAGGAGGGGTCTGGGCTAAGCAGCTCGAGAGTACGAACAAGTCGATTGCGAAGCTTGCCAACTCTGTCCAGCTCCTGCTCAAGGCACAGCCTGCAGTGGGGGGGCCGCCTGCGAAGGGGGCCACGGGCGGCGGCGGGGCATGCCAGGATGGAGGTGGGGCCAGCGCCAACCAGGCCGACAAGCTGCGCGAGAGGATCGCGATGCTTGGCAGGATGGCGAAGGAGCTGGACCCAGACGCGGACAAGGATGAGATCGAGCGCCTGCGGCAGAAGCAGGCGGCGGCGCAGAAGGAGCTCCAGGGCTCCAAGCCCGCGCTCACCCAGCACACCATCGCGGGGCACAAGCTGGCGGAGCTCGAGGCCAAGCAGGGCGTGCTGGAGCAGAAGTTGGAGGCGCATCGCAAAGCCATCGACGAGGCTCGCGAAGTGGAGAAGCTCATGCAAGCACAGGTGGGCGAGCTCAAGGCAAAGGTGGAGGAGGCCCGCAAAGAGCTGGTCAAGACCATGCCCGTCGGCACCTCCACCTGGGACGTCGATCAGCTGGACAAGACCGAGCTCGAGAAGCAGCCTGAGGTCAAGGCAATGCTCGAGTCCGAGACGTGGAAGAAGTTCCTGGACATGCTCAAGACCAGTGGCGTGGCTCCGCCAGGCCCAGTGGCTGAGCATCCTCCTCCTGCTGCACCTGGTGATGAGTGTTCAGGGAGGGACAAGCCTGCGCCAGACCTGCATGAAGACATGGACCTGGACGAGCTTGACCAGCTCTGGGAAAAGGCGGCAGGAGAGAAGCGAGTGTTCCTGGACGGCCTGGCCAGCTTCAACCTCAAGCGGCAAAAGCGCGGGTAGCAAGGCGCAGGTCATGCTCGACCTGCTTGAGGCGCTGGAGGCGGTGGACAGGCTGGGCGGCGGCGGTTTCCCCCAGGCGGCCCCTCTGGTCCCACCCAGCCCCGAGGGAGGCGTTGAAACGGGTGAGGCGAGGCCGCCAGGGGACAAGGAGTGGGTCTTCATCCCAGTGGGGGGCCCCTCCGAACCTGCCCGCCTCCCGCTCCCCGACGCACGAGCAGCCAGGGGCCGCTCGGGCGAGAGCGGGGGTCGCGGGGCAGGGAGAGGCGTGGCCCCAGCGGGGCAAGGCGAAGTCGGATAAGTTCGAGTTCTACTTTGCCAACATTACCAGCCTGGGCCTGAAAGGGTGGGATTTCACCAAGGAGGCCGAAGAATCCAGAGTCGCCAAGACGAGGGACCTTGGCACGATGGGCTTTGTCGAGCATCACCTGTCGGGAGCACGACTGACCCAGGCATCGAAGAAGCTCAGGAAGCACGGCTGGGGCGGAGCCTCCGTCCCAGCAACTTCGACGATCAACGGAGGGAAGCAGGGACATGGTGGAGTGCTACTGCAGTCCCGAGTTGGATTGCAGAGTTGGCCAGTCACAGACAGCCACAAGCGTCTCCACCAACGCCCTGAGCACGTGGGGGACAAGACGCAGTGGACAGGCCAGTTCGTGAGATTCGAAGGAGGCATAGAGATGTTGTTCGTGGCAGCTTATTTCGTTGTGGACGTCGGCCTGGCAGATTGCAACCTTGTCATGATGGATGAGATCGCTAGCCTGGTCACGGCCTCTGACAGGCCATTCGTCCTCCTGGGCGACTGGAACATGACGCTGGATGAGATTGGCCCCGCTGGTTGGGACACCTACTTGAGAGGGAAGTGGATCACGCCAGGGGATCACCCAGCAGGTGGGCGCCTCATTGACTACATGATGACATCGGAGGACTTGGTTGGGGCGCTCACGCTGGAGTGGGACATGGACGGGCCATGGGCGGCCCCTCACTTCGGCATGACCGCAAAGTTGGACAAGCAAGCGCCCAGGTACCAGTACCGCATCCCGCTGGCGCCAGCAGCGATCACGGTTGGCAAGAGGGGACCTGACAAGCCATGGGCCGAGCACGTGGAGGCGATCCAGCAGTGTAAGTGCGAGGCCCTGGAGGACGAGAGGTACCAGAACCTGCCCAGGGGCAAACGCGAGGTGTCAGCAGCATACATGGAGTTCGCGCTCGCTGCTGAGCACCTGCTGGCCCAGAGGGACGTCACGGTTGACTGCCAGAGAGCTGCCACACG